GTCCTTAAAATTATTGATATTTTCCAGTTGACCATCCTATTCATAATTATGATATTTTGTTCCTCGTATACTTTATGGTATGATTTTTCCATGCGACTCTACATCCGAATTATGAAGCACATAATTAAATGAAAATTAACAGCAACCAAAATTATAAAGCAGATCAATAATGAAAACCATCCAAGCTAATCAAGTTACTTTTCATGGTAGTTTCTTAAATCCTGATGTTCAACGTGTTGAGTTACAACTATGTGCATGACAATGGTTTTGTAACAGTAATTAACTTAATAAATCCTATTATCTGCGCTCCAACTACTACGTAAGCACGGTAAATGTACAATAAATGACAATCATGCCTATACCAGTAAGAAATCGTGCTTTAAATATATTTTAATCGTTCGTAGTGTACTACACGTTAGCCCGCACGCACAGATACGACAGCTAACAGGTAGGCAGGCAGGCAGGCAGGCAGGCAGGCAGGCAAGCAGGCAGGCAGACAGGCAGACAGACAGGCAGGCAGGCAGGCAGGCAGGCAGACACAGAGAGAGACAGATAGATAGAGTAAAGTAGGTATATATAAAAATGCAAAATTTTATAAATTCTTTTCCGTTCGCATAAGCTTGCTAGCATTGTCAGGTAAAGGACATCTAATGCACTATTCCCACAAGCATGCTCGATCGCGATAACGTGCGGCAATATACGCAAAACGATATAAAGTGCTATAAAGAATAGATATCCGAGATACTCGATCCGCGCCGCCGTATAGACGCTGGCAGCAGCTGTTCAGTGCAAGCGAGCTAAATCTGTTGAAATAAAGTCCTCGCATCTTAAACCCACTGAATCCAGCACTAGAACACAATCGTCGTGATACTGGAAGCGATACTGCACGAAGCCGTAGAGTTTGAAGGCCCTTGAGACATTTATAAACCACCGTGGACAACAAACACGTACATTAGTGCACGCGGTATCGTCTCTAACGATAACGGAGGTGACCTATTTCTTTAAAGAAACATGGCGCGTAACACCCCTGGGTGACATTTAATTAGCAGATAACCATGGAAATGGCTAGACCCGCTGCAATTCCTATTGCCGGTAACTGCCCTGTAACGTCCGTCCCCCTATGGGAAATATAGGGCTGTAAGCAGTTACTGTGTGGAGTAGCTACGCGTATAATGTCGATACATTTAAAACCCTTGATAGGATGGAGCCGCTAAGGGCCGCATGACCTAAAATTAGAGCATTTTGCCACAAGGAAATACGTACTGTCGCCATTCTCACAGCGTGGGCTGACGTGCAGTCTGTTTTTTTATATACACGCGCGGACACACGCACGCACGCACGCACGCACGCACGCACGCACCATCCAGCACACTGTCGTTCTGTCGTGCACAACTGAACCAAGGTGCTATGACGTATTACGTCACACTACATGATTACATATCATGGAAGAGTCTACGTTCTGATAATTATGGTTATAGTAGATATCTGTGTATATAGGTAGAAGGAGCAACACAAGCTATTGCTACACATGTTTCTTTTTCTTTCAGGAAGTCGAGATATATATTTCTTCACATTTTATCAAATTAAAAAATTGGCATTTCCTCCTTCACTCATCTAAATTGGCAAAGTTTTATACAACCCATATCCTACAAATCTACATATATGACCAAGAGCAACAGGCACGTACACATATGCCAGTGTTATACAGGGACCGACCCTGGAATTCGAGTTATCAAAATGCTTCTCCTACGGCAATCATATTCAACATGTAGGCACCCCGAAATAACGATGAGAGGTCAAATGTTAAGTTATGTTATGTAATGGACGTAATGGACGTAATTGGATGTAATGGATGTATGTAATGGATGTAATTATGTAATGTTATGTAAGAGACGTTTTAGGGTGTCCGGCCCTCTAAGGGCGTAAGGAGTGTGCAGGGAGAATGCACGATTCATTCCCTAATAACTATGGTTCCCTATAACTTATGGTGACTCACAGACAGGTGTTGTTCGCAACCCGCAACAATTTGGACGTGCAAAGTAAGATATACGACCACACCATTACGCTTGCAAGATATCCCAAATTTGGCTACAGAAAATTCCGCCTAATTAGCCAAAACAAAAATACAATTAGACCCCCATCCAGCTAGCACCCTTCGTATGCTGCACATATGTCGATATCGCATTTCGTAAATTATTATCGTATTTATAATAAATTTCTCTCTATTGTACGACAGGGAGCGCGCCATGCAGTGTTTCAACGACTCCGACGCGTGTACGCTCTACTACGCCGGGACTGTCCCGTGCATTTTCACGTCATACTGCGACATCGGCGGCACCAAGTCGCCGCAGTGGATCTGCACAAGTCAGCAGATCATCAACTACGCGTTCCCGACGCTCGCCGCGCTGGCTCTCATCGCCAACACTGCCGCCATACTGACGTTTACGCGCAACGACTGCCACATACCGATGGCGAACTACTACAAGGGCCTGACTGCAGCCAACATCCTCTACACGTTCTGCGCACTGCTGCTGGGCATCGAGCGCTACATGGAGGACACCAAGTCCTACCACCAGACGAAGTCGTACTTCTACGCGCCGTGCGAGGCGTTCTGGATGGCCGGCACGTGGATCACGGTCGTCATCGCCGTCGAGAGCTTCATGACGGCGACGGTGCGCCGCCGACTGCGCTACGTCTGCTCGATCTCCTACACGAGCCTCGTCGTCGTCATCATCTACATCTCGTGCTGGTCGTGCTCGCTGCCGCGCATCTGGTTCAACATGAAGCACCGCCGCCACGCGTCGTTCACGTACTGCGACGCCTACCGCTGGTTCGCGATCACGCTCTCCGTGCTGCTGCCCTTCCCGACGCTGTGCGTCTGCAGCGTGCTGCTCAGCGTCACGCGCTGCCAAACGACGCGATATCTGCGTCTGCGGAAGTCCGGCGACGCGGCGGCGGCGGCGGCGGCGACGCTGCGTAACGGTCCGCTGAGACACGCCGCGCAGCAGCAGTGTCGCAAGTCGCCGGTCGAGGAGAGAGAACTGATTCTATTCAACGCGATGCTCTGTTTCGGCTACTGTCTGCTCGTGCTGCCGTTCAGCGTCTGTCAGATCGTCTACGCGATGGCGAGCGTCGGCGAGCGGCACATCTACGTTGCCATTAGCAACATCCTGCAGATGGGGCTGTTTGTCAACAGCATCCTGCAGGTGGTCTGCTGCGTGGCGATTGTCAAAAGCTTCCGCACGCAGCTTGGCAGAACGCTCTGCCTTGTGAGCAGCCATGCTTCATAACTCCGCTGTTATTCACACGAAGATTCGCGTGTGGACCATTTGAGAGTCAGGCGACTCATTACAAATAGTAATGGTATAAAATGGTAAAGGTGCATTCAAACGAGTTAGGGATTCTTGCAGAAGGCAGGCAAGGATAGCGAGGATATGCCCATGCGGTGACGCAGAACCATCGCGTACATAATAACCATATCAACATAAGCTAGCTACGTGGAGATAAAGTTGTCGTAATCACGTTCGTAAATTTTACCAAGGCAATAAGTATATTACGGCGTTTTATGTTTATTCCGCTGCTATCATCGCTATATATACCTCACATCTCCACAATGAAGCATTAACAACTGCAAAGCCACGTGAAAACCCACGTGAATATTGGATGCACATGGCATCATTCATTTCCAAATGCACAAGATAAAACACTGGATAAATTTATTTCACCTATGGATTCTACTATTAATGGTCACGTAATAGGGTTAGGCTATCACATAGTTATTAACGATAAGTTAGTAACGATGAAAGGCTATGGTAATGCTCTGCGTTCTAGAGAAGAAATAAACGCTAGTAAAGCGAAAATCAGTATAACGTAACGTGAATCACGTATTCCCTTCGAATCCCATTACATACTGGAGACGAATCTGTCAACTAAAAGATGTACTTGAATTTGAATAACACTTATGAATGTAAGTAAACATTTTTAAATGCACATTTTGATTTTTAAATGATGTAACCCAGAACCACGATAATATTAAGAGGGAAGAGGAATTCAGAATTAGCTGGATCAATGGGGGGGGAGGGCACTAGTAAACCAGCTGCCTCGCCATCTTTATTGCTATCATTGTCGGGTTTCAGCTCGATCTGGAGGCCAAAATATTTCTAAAGTGGTTGCTCGTTACGGCGGATCTTCTCTTCGTACAATTAGCTAACTATACCTGTAGCAGCTATACTGTAATTGCTATTGAAATGACAGGATGAGGGAGTCTAATTGCAGGAACACAAACGTTTTATGAACAGCTACTGTACGTGTAGCGCAAATTGCATAATGCGATAGCATTACACAAATGAAAGTTCACCGGCGCGACGCATTAGCAGCTGGCTGCACATTTCTTATATAAATTATATTTACAACGATTCAGCACGTCACGTTTAGTATAAAATAACTAGCTCAATATTTTGAAAAATTTCATGAGTGATTCACATTCCGAGTTAATGATAATAAATTACGTACGGGCATGTTGTCATATTCTTAGTTCTCGTAACGCAGGGTATTACTGTGCATGAATAAATATCGCTTTGCCTGTTACATTATTGGTTAATTGTTGTTAAAATATATATAGGCTTAAATTTATATATTGCTCTTGCATGTAAAACCATATATATGATGTGTACAATTTGTAGTCTTGTTGAATTTAATCTAATATCAGTAAAAAAAAATATAATTGAATATATTTATATATATTTTGTGTGCGTCTGTCAGGGCTGCTTTATAATGTGTTTAAATATAATGTCTATTTTTTGTGACTGCATCAGAGTTACAGGTGTCGTAAAACGAATGTTCTGCCTTTATCAGTTTATGTTCACTTTTGTATACACTTATTATATTATTTTTAATTTGCTCAGTATGTAACTAATTGTCATGATTTAAAGTCCTAATGAAACCCAGTCTAAAATGCTATAGAACTGATGGTCATGCAATAGAACAATAACTAAACAAAATCAAACTACTGTCAGATTATGACAGCCGGAGTTCACCAGTTTTTCACCTGTCACGTAAAAAGAGTAAAAATGTGTTTTCTATTACTTTTATAGAATATAAAAAATACTAATGTCATTAAATCCTCAAGAACGACTGAAAACAATTATAGCTACCACATATTGAACTACAGTACATCAAGTATTGTAAAGTGTGTTCCCTTTAACAGTTCATATAATATTACCTCCACTATAATTCAGGTCACTTATTATAGCTACTTCCAAACTCTGATGCAACGATGATGCAAAATGCAGATATGTTTACTTGTGCAATGTATTGACTGTTACTTGTGCGTTAATGATGCAATGTTCTGATAGTTTCAGTCCCAAATCATCTTGGTTATTATCTTGCTTCAACCAAACAATTACATGCATCAGTTGTTGCTGCTTCTCCTCCTCCTCCTCCTCCTCCTCCTCCTCCTCCTCCTCCTACTGCTGCTGCTGCTGCTGCTGTTGCTGTTGCTGCTGCTGCTGCTGCTACTGCTGCTATTGCTGCTTGTGGTGGCTGGGGCAGTACGGGTCATGCTATATTAAGGCTGTGCATTGTTTGTGATACTGCCCTTTTGCCCACTGTTGCTAGAGAGTTTGTTTTGGCCTGAAAGATAATAGCTGCAAATGGCAGATGCTGGGCCATTGTCCTATAACCCCATCTGACCACGAGAGATTATACCTGAAACGCTTGCTGGGTTCATGTTTGACTTAGCAGACAGACGGTGCTGAATTCAATACAAAATAACATACCTTGACACGGTGTAAACGTCGGAGCAAGAAAGTATGTCCTGGCACATGACAACGGTGCACATGGGGAAACCGACTGAACAACCTAAAGAAAATGAATTTATGCAAGCTCTACATAATGCAATGCGAATGACTGACATACACTGATAATCACACACTAATGCACTGACAACTAGCAGTCCCACCAAAAAGTTTGTTGGGTGGGGGGGGGGGAGCATTCAGCATGTGCATTTGCATGCGAGACAGTCTATAGGACGTGCTTACTGGTTAATCTTTGAGTATGCAGAGATATTATCAGGGTGCGAAATTAACGCGAGTCCGGAGTCAAATACTCTCTGATTTACTGTCGGACTCCCTGATTTGACATATGCAAGAGTCTGTGTGACTCCCTGAAAATTCTGCTATACAGCCTATACTAACTAGTTTGTTCCAGAGCACGACCTCGCGGCATATTTCAGTAAATGCCCAAAGAAAATTTGGCAGTCGTGCAACCTCATGATTCTTCAAAGTAAGCACATGTGTTATTATTAATATCTTTAGTTTTGAACTTCAGACTGCGGACTCCCTCATTTTGCTGTGGACTCTCTTTTTTTGAGGGCAGGGAGTCTGTTGGACTGCCCCCTTAATTTCTACCCCTGTATTATGTATCCAACCAGAAAAATATGAGCAGTCTGTTTCACTAAAAAAATAGGCTACCAAGCTATAACCTTCTTCATCTATATAAAGTCCCTATTAATCTTAACCAGGAGTATGCATTAATTAAAAACTCAAAAAAAGAACAAATATAGTGCTGTATATAGCAGTACAACATCAATATATGTGACGAAGCAACACTCAATTGCAAAAGCAATGACTGAAATGCTATTTATATATGCTAATTAACTTAATTACCATATGAAGTGGTGCGACCACTTGTCTCTGCTCACTATGACTATGTAAACTGCCCGCAGTAAAAGCAGCACGGTTGGTGTTCTGGCCACAGAGTACAAATGGCTTCTTCAACCTACACATGCAAATACATTCTGGCTAGTAAAGTGGCAATAGCAAATGAAAATTTTAATTGTTTTAGCATCATGCAGTCAAATATTAAACATTATTTTCTAATGAAAATGTAGAGTGGGAATCTCATTAACTTATAGCTAATACCCAACTGAAATGAAATTGTCAACGTATGACTTTCATATCAACTTAAATGTGAAAAAATGTCAATATAGCAAATTTAATACACAAACTATATCAATTTGCCTACACAAAATAACATTTTATATTACAATATGCATAACATACCCTTCGACATTTCCATTTCCCATCTTCCCAAGGCTGTAGTATGTTGTCAGGGGTTCAAGAATCTTGCCAACAGACACGTCCACAGTGTCACCAGCAAACTTGTCTATTGCGATGCCTACTGTAGAGCACATCATATGCCATTGATGTGTAAACTGCGTTAGTTCCTAAAACAGTAAATGACCTCATCCACAATACTGGTGATTATTTACGATACATATACTATTGGAATTATTATATTGCCCTGCAATTCACCAGCCTATTTTAGGCATATTACCGAATTCAAATAATATCAGATTTCAGCGGCACATAAACTATACGCTATTGTTTATATAGTGTTGATAAAAAACAAGCAAATTAATTGCAGGTAATTTTCCTGTTGGTCGAAATGCCACCCCATTTCATGCTTCATAAACCTGAGTAAAATAGATAAGCTGCTAATTATGTCTATAAGACAATGTTCTGGCAAATAACTGTTATTGCACTAATTAAACTTATTGATAACTTGATCCCATACTTCAACCTTGACATTTATTAGTTTACTACGACCTATAGCCTACCAAAATAAACATTTAAGCTGATTTTTTACAACTGTCTATTTCCTCAGAAAACATATATCACACACACTGACTGACACTAATTGCATAGCTATATATTGTCCCTGCCAGCATTAAATTTATAATGAACGTTTCCTGTCATGAATGCTACAAGATATGCCTACACAGCGAAATATCTTCTGGGATGCTTTTGGCATAAATCTCTTCCATGTGAAGCCAGGCAGTATTAAACTAGTTATTTGAAGTTAGTCAAAGTGTTGATGGCACAATATTCACTGCATCGTAACTGCATATATACTACCTATGTGTGTATATATATTGTAGTGCTTACAGTCGAGATGATCTTGCGAAGGGTGATGGAATCCAAGTGTTCGTACACAGTAGACAGTAGAGGTGCTACATCAACGACGTCATGTACCATCGTAAAGAACCCGCCGCTAAAAAACATAGACTCAAAATACATAATGTACAAGACTATCAGTGCACGAGTGTACGACAGCTTATAGCTATCATATATTGTTTATAAATACTATCACATATTTGACTATGTTATAAGTTAACTGATACCAAGCTTACTGATTTATGATATATCTGTAAAATGCAAATCAAGTGAACGACAATATGGGCAAGAACATAAATTCTCACACAGAACAGAAATATGAAATCCTGTTAACTATACCTTCCAAATTCTTCTAGAGCAGATGCCTGAATTAGAGGCCACTTCTCAATGCAGATATCATGACAGCTGCTGCTATGGCCTGGAAATGTCATTACAGACCGAGTTAAATTAAAATTAGTTAAGCATTCCAGTAAGTTAATATTAACAAGCTATGTTGATAAGTAGATACATCTGTTATTACTTACCGGAAACATGGTAGGGCACACCAACTGATTTACAGCCTTTCAACATGGCAACAAAGCTAGAAATCTTGTACTCTTCAGCTAGATCTTGGTCCTCATACTGTATAAAAGGAAACGATTATCACAAAATTACAAGTGTGAATGAAAGTTTGGGATGCTTCGAATGCATCAAAGCAACGTAGAAGCCATGAAATACAGTATGTAACAGTGAACGGATGCCTGTTTAATTACAATATCGATTCATTTTTTCAAGTGATTATACTTACATAAGATTACACGGGCACATTCTGAGCCATCAATTATTATAAGTAGAGCAGTCACTACTAGATATCGAGCATACATAGAGTTACATATTGAAACAAATGTAAAAATTATTATATATCAATATAAATATGCACGCACATACGCACGCACCCACACGCACACGCACGCACACTCATGCACGCACGCACACTCATGCACTCACGCACACATGCACGCACATAAAGATTAAGTTCTATTTAACTTACTTATTAGCAACCTACACATACCTGATATTCAGTTAAACAGTGCACAGTTAGGTTCTCCCATTGAGCAAAGTAGGGAAAGAGTTGCTTCAGGTTCACTGGGTTGCAGTACACGGCTACAGAATTTGATTTTACCACTATCACTACATCTGAAATGCAATTGGAAAAATCAATATAATGGGTTAATTCTCCATGCTGCTTTCAATTTTCATGTGACACTTCCTAAACAATTGTCAAACAGTGACAGCGTCTATCTATGTTCGCAAAAGCTTGAAAAATAAACAAATTGATACATCATTCATTTTTATATTTATATATTTTCATGTATATATATCATTAAACGAGACCCAGCTCTCTCTGTAACAGCAGCAGCAGCAGCAACCAACAACAACAACAACAACAACAACAACAACAACCACAACAACAACATCAACAATATGAAATCAATAACACAGAAACGATTGCCTGACTCACCATCCCAGTCGTATTGACCTTGTGCTTCCCTATCAAGCTGTAATTCTTCCTTGCGAAGGTTAGGGAACAAAAAATTAAAGAGCTCATCTGCACCTATGCTATTTCTAAAAAGGAAACCAAACAAACCAGCTTATATTCTCAGTCTCACTATAGTGACCAAACAAGACTTTTCCTTATTTCCACAATATATAGATATACTAGGGTAGAAATTAAGAAAACACCTGAGCTACTTCTCATCTGAAATAGTGACGTCACAATCGACTTTTCGGTAGAGGCTTTAAGTTTTCTGGGTCAAATTATTTGGAAGGTATATAACAGCTATTTCTAGCTACATATTAACATGCTTTCTCACACTAAAGGTCAGCCAGTGCAACAGAAAAATGCCGAGTAAATAGGCAGCATGTTTAAGCTACTGTTTACTAGTACTAGGCAGTACTGTGCAATCAATATTTTGGGGGGCACAAGACCTACACATGCATTGTTTGTGAAATAAGCACGTTCCTGCAATCAGTCCCTATATGGCAAGTTTTAATGAGCTAGCTGCATAGTAATGGTGCACCTCACTCCCCTCCAATAGATTCCCATTCTGAATTCACCTTCCATTCCAGTATTATTGGGATACTAGCTTACATTATTAAATAATTAAAATGTACGTGTTTAAAGGTGTTTACTTTCAGACACAATTGTCCCACTAAGAATACATCTTTTATCTCAAGAGATTTTCTGTATGAATGCATCTGCAACTATATAGTGGAGGTGAATGGAAAAACGCTATTAACGTTACAAATTTTTGCCATAGATCATTTCTCTGGAATGCAGGGGATTATTATATTTGATCAAATATATATATTCAGTCTGTGCCCACTTATTCATTTTAAAAATACCCCATACGAAGGATATATATACCTGCTATATTGTTGAATGCATATATTTTTTTATACTTATACTCACCTAGAATCAATCCCAGTTATACAAACTATAGCATCAGCTTTCTCTGACACTTTATTTCTTGGCTTCAAAGGTTGTACTGGTTGAACATCATGACACAACAATTCTTGTACTCTTTTAAGTCGGTTCCTTTAAAAAAAAAATTAATACATGAATGGGTATAAAAGTAGGGTTATAACTAATGAATACAGGACTATATAAAGTCTTGGCTAGAATTGACATGGTAAAATTAAATGTATATCAGGGTGAGATTTTAGCACCAGCCAACATTTGGAAATATTGTGACTGGCAAAAACACAGGCTCTTCCAGTCATATAGTCCTCTGTGAGTTTGATGCACACCAGTGCAGTTGGCATATGCATGCAGTGAGACAGTGTGTTACAGCGGTACATTTGCACGGCATCTACGTGAAATTGTTAGGCGATGGAAAATACATAAACCTTAAGATTTTGGTAGTAAATACAATTTATGTTTATATACTGGTCATCATTTTATTATTGAAACAGCCAAAGTGGCTGCATGTGTTTTAGGCATTAACTTCTTACTTAGGCACAGATTGACAAATTTTCCATCATCATGCCACCATACATGATTTTGTGGAGGTGGCATAGTTGGGTAGTGTGTTACACAACCTACATAATAAAGTATATGCCACCTCCACATTCCATCGATGCCAGATTTTCAGCAGAAGGGCTAAGTTAATTGTATGGCTTTACTTGTAGAGTACAATAGTAGGGTTAAACATGTATGTGTTAACTTGGTATTTTATGCAATGTACTGTCCGTCATTGGAGCGTAGCCAGTTGGCAGCGCACCATCCGGCCTGGCAATATAAAGCATGCAGGTGACTATATTGGCTTACTATTCAGGCAAGGAATGGCGAGGAGAATAAGGAGTGACTTTTTGGCTCATTTACAGATTTTAGGGAGAAGGGGAAAAAGGAGAAAAACAGAACCTTTCAGGTTAGGTCCATAAAAACTTATTTTGTAGTTTCATGTACGGAAAGAGGAGGCCACACACCCTAACACATGGACAACCCAAGCCAGAAGAAGCCAGGGACAGAACAACGATCAAGGGAGCATCCCACCTTGGCAGTTGTTAGGGAATTTATACAAGTAGTTAGGGCTTGTGTTAGCACCAACGGCAACGTATCATGTCTTGTATCACATATGATATTATGCCAGAAGTGGTGAGCACTAAAAACTTATTGAACCGCGCGTTTAAACCAGTTTGTTATTGAATTAATGCCTGTTTTCCCATAGGCTAGCAGCCGTACACAAAACACAAGTGACACGTACATCACTGTACTGTAGCTAGTACTGATCATACTGCACAGCTGTATCATACTCAGATACTGTACTGATAGTGATACAGCGCAATAAATTTTAAAACCTGATGACTGTTCTCACCGATAATACGTAAGCTTAATTATTAATTTGTAATAAATGCTACTATTGTCTTACATTTTCGTATAAACACAAACACCATGCACAAGTGAATGGATACCAAACTCCAAAGCACTGAAGTAGACTTCTCTCACAACACAGTTGCTACTGACGCGAGCCCGACAGGTGTCAGGTATTCGCTAACCACTGATGTGCGCGCCACCTAACGCCGTTTGTGAAAAACAGCACGAATCATCGATCATTGATCACGAGAAAGAATATAAAGTAAAATAAAAGTATCATACATAATAACATAGTAGCAGTGCTGACGCCAACTACACTACCACCTCCTTCGTTGAGGAAACTATCAGAAACTCGTCGGGAATCTATGCAAAATCCTCTTACAGCAAAAATCGCAGTATAGTAGTACATGTACGTAGGCCTACCGATCAGTGTAGGCCTACCGATCTTGATCAGTATTATCAAGAGCGTCTTCTTCTACGCTTCTACCATATACTATATATACTACCATAATATTCTACATATACGCTCTTGGTATTATGAGTATAATTATGATGCAGGGTCAATGCCTGGTTTAACTGTATACGTATGCGCGCACGTGCGCACGCACACGCACGCACGCAAACCCACACATTACATTGTATCCGATTATGTACTCTTGATTATATATTATATTATCAGGAGTGAATAATAGAGACTACAGTCTACAGTACTACATAGAGACTCTAATTATTCACTCCTGATATTGTGTGTGTGTGTGTGTGTGTGTGTGTGTGTGTGTGTGT